TCCTGATTAGTCATCATGAACATGACAACTTAAGCCGAACTATGAGGGTGCAATTTTAAATGTTGCAGGTGCGAACCTGTAACAACCCAACAAATCGCACTATCGCCCATCCCGCTTTGCGACTGTCCGGCTCAACCAAAATCAGTTGCAGACGATCCGTTACCAGAAATCGAGGAAGGCGCTCATTCTTGTTCAAAACAACAACACATGAAAGAAGGTCAGAATTATCTGAAAAGGTTTGCTTAAGAATATGTAATAGCGCCTTTCATAAAGAAAGTCTACATGACGGATGAAAAATTTTAATAAGATTAAAGAAAGTGAAGCCTACTCACTTAGATTGATACAATCTCCAACCTCAACGGCGACGTTATTTCCAACTTTCAAAGGCAACTCAGTTTCTACTTCTCCTGACATGTCTTTCGCTAATTTGCGGATATGGAAATAGAACTGGATAATCTAAAATGCACTTTTTCCACATCCATGAATTCAAGTTTAAGTACAGTAACATACAGTGCGTATTCTCTCTTCGAAACCACTCGGTAGCCTTTTGTGCAGGGCTAAGCCAGACATAACGGTATTACAAGGCGGCAACAACAGCTCGTAACCGATCGTTTCTAGTTTTATATGATTTATCTAAAAAGAAAAAGCTGAAAATGAATTGTGGTTTGCAATGCATGGGAAAGGTTTACAGAAAAAGTATTGTTTGAAAGCACATATCCTAATGGTTCATGCACTTTTCGATGCAGCCATTAACGTCGTTTTAAGTGGAAAAAGACAACCTCAAATTCAGCATATTCATCCTCAAACCACTCAAGAAACAAGTTCTCAGAGTTGACATATAGCCCTAATCGATCAATAAAGCACGTGAGGATGTGCGATGCCTTGTTAGCGATCAGAGAATGCATCTAAAATATACAATATGGATGTCATTGACATTTTTCCGTTAAAAAGCGTACAGGCAAACTTCAAAATAAGTAAGGATGACCTAAAATTAAACATACTTGGTCGTGGTCTACAACCAGCAGTATTTGTCTTAACACTAAACAAGCCAATTCTAGAGTTACAGGACGAAGACGACTTTCTTCGTTTCCAGCTGCATCCACTATTGAAAGTAATGCTTCAATGATCCGCTCATCACATGATACCGGGGTTTCCAGGGAAGAGATCTAAAGCAGAACAAGCGGACTATAATCACTCCAATGACGAAACGAACAATCATGTGTTTTCATATACAGATTTTGCCTGAATCACTCACACTGACTAAAGGTTTCTTGGAATCCATTGAA